CCTACGACACCTCACCGACCGGTTATTTTCCAGTTGGACCTGAAGCCGATGCAACAACTGGCCGTACGCAACCCTTATTACAACATCTTGGCCCCCAAGGTCGCGGGCAACCTTCCTACGGCCACCTATGATAGCCTGTTCCAGACGTTCAAGGTGATCTACCCGGACTATGCTCGCAGTCATTTCGTTTCAGACCTCAAAACTGTAGTCACCGACACGTTGCTACAACGCTGGTCGATACACCTACCAGCGTCAGAGTTCTACATGATGATTGACACCGATCAAGGAGCTCAGATGCTTGACGACCTTCCTCATTCTCTTCTGGATGTTTTGAATTGGTTCTACCCGAGATGGAAAACTCATCAACATCTCGATGCCTTCACGACTCGTGAGTGTTCACCGTTGCTGCTGACACCCCATCCAGATGCACAAGACACAGGCTTTGCTGTACATGTTCAAGTGATTCCCCGTGGGCATCCCTTCGTCACGGCCACCCGATACACTAAAGCCGCTGAGTGATTAGCTGTCTTGATGGATCTCGGCAAGGCTCACGTCTATGAGGAAAAAGGACAACATTCGTTATGATGTCCACCACCCCGGTTCCGCTTTTCCCTTGTGTCATCCTTTTCTCGTTTTCCATTGGGTGATGTTGGTTTTTATTCCTTCATCATTGACCTTCCCCACGGCTTTTCGGCTTCAGTTCAGTATTTCTCGTTATCATACTCTTGTGATTGTACATGATGACCTCCAACACGGATGATCCTGCTCGATTGGTCCCGCACCGTTCATCACCTACATCCATACATGGCCTTGCCTCACACTTGCCACCTGATGATCCTACCTCGGCATCCTATATTCCTCGTGCAGCACGAATGATTCCGACCTCTACCACCGTCCACTCCGTCTTCATCAAGAAGCTAAGCTATCCTTTGTCTAACCGTTCAGATGAACTTTGGATCGTGGAAAGGACACTTGATGGTCTTGAAACGTGGAAACCAGTGGAAACATTTCTGGAGAACATGCACCTCACCAACGACCAGGCGACCCTGCGTACCACAGCCAACCATTGGCGCAGATACTATGACGTACCAATTCAATCATCATCCTCCTCCCCTACGGCAACTACTGCTCCCGTTTTACCACACCCTGAACACTCCAACGTCTACGTCTCACAGCCGTACGAAGCGATACCGGACCACCTCCATATTTTGCAGTCATGCTGGGGACGCTCTGCACAACACCATTCTCAAGGAACTACTACCTCTTTATATTGGCCACCTTGGCGGTCTACACCACCTTCTTCCCCACCGGCAACACTACAACGTACTGTACATCTCACTCGCCCCGCTGTCCCTCCTCAACAAGTGCATGGTCCACTGGATGCGAACGATATTGACCCGATGGATATGTCGGACTCAAGTGTGTAATCTACCACACTATTTGTCGGCAGAAAAAAGACCTGTGATTCATCGTCTCTTTGTGTGACCATTTACTAGGTACACCGTTTCTCTTCCTTTTCCAACACTTTGAGCTTGTTTCTGTGGTCATTCCAATCTATTTTGCAGCTTGGGCTGTTCGCTTTATCCTCGATACTTCATATTCGACGCAATGGCTCGTTCTTCTCGACCCAATCCATATCGCGCTACATCTACGATCGAGACACCGCTTGGTACACGAACCGTTGGATGGTTTGCTGGACATCGAGGCCTTCCTGGTGATGCGAACCCTCCCCCAAACAGACCTGTCCTTATTTTGGTTGACTTCTCTCCCTTACGGGCATTGACTCACCGAAGCGAACCTGACCGTGAACACTACATGGCTCTGGCGAGCTCCAATTTTAGACATGTCAGTGGCTACGAACTTGAAGCTTTGTTTACCTGGTCACGTCAGATGGAACCAGTTGAAGCCGGCCTCATCCCAATTGCCGAACTTCGCTTCTGTATCTCCAAAAGATTGAGGTCCCAATGGGACATCCAACTTGATCCCTCGAATCTGGAGTTTCGCTATTGCGACCTGGACGGTGATACATTCCAAGTTTCCAATGATATGACGGTCTTGCAGCTTTTGGAGGCATACCGACCTGAATGGCGACTTCGGCAGTACAACTCCCGCGAATCTTCTTTCCTCATTCCGGGTACCAGACAGCCTTTCGTACTACGTCTGCAATGCTACAAAATTAGCTCCGGTGTGATCCTGCCCTGATACGCTAGCCGGCCAAAAAAGACCATGCTACAGGGTTTCAATTCTCCCTTGACACCCCACCAACACCAAGGATTCTTTGATTTCTATTTTATTTGACTTTGAGCTGTGGCTTCTCCGTCGCAATTGAACCACTTGATTGAGGACTGGACTTCACCTTATCATTTGTGTGAATGTTATCATTTTCGGGATTGGCTTACTTCTGCAACTCTTGATACCTCAGCCGTTGTTGCACTATTTCTCGCATTTGTGACAGTTTCACCCATGGAACACAAACGAGACGCGACCGTGGCGGGCTTGTCTTGGCCTTCGAATCCTACCCGTGGACTCGCTCCTACCAACCCAGGCCAAGTACCAGACGCCCAGACTTCTGCACTATGTCACTCAGGAGCTCCTGACACTACGACCAACCCTACGTCGGCACCTTTGGTAACTGACAGTACAGCACCTGCTACGGGTACTATGGCCCATTCTGATACATATTCAGGACCAGCACCTCCTTGCGTCCCATTTCCAATGGAGTCAAGTTCTGCACACAACTACCTCCATCGTGCTCAATTCTCTTCTCGCGTGGTTCACCAGATCCAATTCAAGGTCATTACCCACTCCAACAACACCAGGGAGCTATTCATTGAAGAAATCCCCTTGCTAGGGCATTCCCGATGTCGTGACCCTGAACACTACTTTTATGGTCTTTCGGGCAACTGGGAGTGGTCCCTGCGTACAGCGGACTATTGGCGACATCATTTCGAGATTCCCCTTGTACACGGACACCATCCTTTTCACAAAGTGCCCATTGAGACGACATCTCCAGCAGATGAACCGAGCCTCACCACCCGGATCCATGAACTAGCCAAGGATCTTTCTGACGCCTTGAAGGCTGCTACGGCATCTGGGGAATTCAATGAGACGTGGGCAATGGTTGAACGCATGAGCTTCCACGATGCTTTCGAAGTCCTTCTACAAGCTCCGAATTCTTCTTCTTCTGACTGAAGTGATCGCCCGTTTGTACATCAGGTTATTACAGGTTCACTCTCACTGGTGTATTGCCGATTCCGCCAGCGAAGTTCTTCCAAAAAATCCAACCTCGCTATATGCGAGGTGTGTGTGTGTACCATCTGAACAGATGTAAAACTTCTTATTGGTTTTCACTAACTTGCAGGGGGTGGATGCATGGTCTGGCAGTCATCCACCAACGAAGACACTGCCTTTCCATGGTGATATGACAAAGGGACGCCTTTGTCACGTACCTGCTTTTTTTCGGACATAGCAAGGGGCCAAGCTTAGAACCCCAACAACAATGTTATACAATTTGTTGCACTGTTGTCGCAATCTGGAATCAATTTTATGATTTACATGCATCAGAACCTTCCTCAGATTTTCGCCGAAACCATATCGCCGACAGTATTATGGTTTTTTATTTATTTTCGCCGAGATCATGTCGCCGACGAACTGTGGGTCCTTTTGGGAAACAATCGCCGAAACATTATTGTGGATTCTCAACATGCTGGTTAAAACTCTATGGAATCTGGTTATGACTACGTTTGACAATATTGGATGCCCTACATCGTTCTCGTGAAGTACCTCATATGGCTCCTTTACTAATCTAACGATCTAGGCTGGTTTGCATGTTTCAGGGTTCAGTTCCTGCCGGATCATATAATGATCCATTCTTGTCTAGTGTGTGACACATATGTGTGTGCGTGAAAAAAGCTACCTAGTTCTAGAATGCACATGTTTGACATGTAATGTATATATATATGTGTGTGTGACACATATGTGTGTGCGCGTGAGAAAAGCTACCTAGTTCTAGAATGCACATGTTTGACATGTAATGTATATATATATATGTGTGTGACACATATGTGTGTGTGCGTGAGAAAAGCTACCTAGTTCTACAATGCACATGTTTGACATGTAATGTATATATATATATATATGTGTGACACATATGTGTGTGCGTGAGAAAAGCTACCTAGTTCTAGAATGCACATGTTTGACATGTAATGTATATATATATATATGTGTGTGTGACACATGTGTCTGTGCGTGAGAAAAGCTACCTAGTTCTAGAATGCACATGTTTGACATGTAATGTGTATATATATATATATATGTGTGTGTGTGACACATATGTGTGCTTGAGAAAAGCTACCTAGTTCTAGAATGCACATGTTTGACATGTAATGTATATATATATATGTGTGTGTGTGACACATATGTGTGTGCGTGAGAAAAGCTACCTAGTTCTAGAATGCACATGTTTGACATGTAATGTATATATATATATGTGTGTGTGACACATATGTGTGTGCGTGAGAAAAGCTACCTAGTTCTAGAATGCACATGTTTGACATGTCATGTCTATATATATATATTTGTTGTGTGACCACATATGTGTGTGCGTGAGAAAAGCTAAACCTAGTGTGTGTGTGTGTGTGACACATATGTGTGTGCGTGAGAAAAGCTACCTAGTGTGTGTTTGACACATATGTGTGTGCGTGAGAAAAGCTACCTAGTTCTAGAATGCACATGTTTGACATGTAATGTATATATATATATATATGTATCACTTAATTCACCCATTACGGGTGTGTTTGTTGATCAATTTAATCTGCCTGTCTGCAAAAAAAACTCATCCTTGGGGAGTTGACTTTCGCATTTTACAAGCTGGGACCCCAATTTGTTGGGGGCCAGATCCACAAGTTCAAATTCATCTTGGAAAGCTATCGTCACATGCAACAACGGCTGCGTTTGAGCTACCGATGCAGCCACTGGCTTTGAAGGATAGAACCCCACAACTATGCAAATGCAAGAGACTGCTTTGCCCAAATGGCATCGTTCTCTTGAGCCTGGAGATATTGTTGGCAAACAGCTACAGTAGCTCTTGTGTTTCTGCGGTTGCACTTAAAAACCCGTTCAAATCCTGCGGTACTAGCTGATGAGAATCACACTGTCAAAATAAGAACCATAAAAAGGCATAAAAAGGCCATATGCATTCATATATGCAACAGAGACATCATCCTCCACAGTCTCCAGGAAGTTGAAGCTGTCGAGGATTGTCTCAAATCCGGTTGGGAGTGTCACCCACCAATTTCGATGGAAATCTGACTGCAATATTCATGCATACATCGCAACATCATCAATGGTTGCAGAGGGTGGAATCAATTAGTCATGGGCCTGGTAAACTCCTTGTTGCGATTCCATCTCTTCTAACGTGGCGTTGGTTTGGACCTGTGTCTTCCAAAGGTGCTCCTGCCAGCCATCCACCAAAACCCCAAGCCCAAGCCCAGTTACGTCGGACCAGTTGTTGATCTAGAAACAATGGGGTAACCCCAAAATCCCAAACCTCCAATTATGGAAGAATATGGAGATGGAGGAATTGACCCACCCATTTTTGGTGATACTGGAGGTGTGTGTTTTTTTCAGGAATATTCAGAACTTAGGTCCTAGGTCCACGGGCTCCAGATGTGGGTTTCTTAAAGCGGGCAAAAAACCATAGGTTTCATTCCTAAAATGATCCAATGACTTGGATGATTGAGGGATGATTGAGGGATACCCGGGTAGCCGTCCTGGGCCTTAGAGATGTCCCGTTCTAAGGCCTCCGCAGCAGCTTCGCGTTCCTCAAAGGAAGGCCAATTGAACGGTTGGATTGGAATCTCCCAACATTCGACTCCAGATCTGGAGACATCGGGAGATATCTGGGGGCAATTCTGATGAAAACTCTCATCAATTCTGCTGGATGGGCTTGGATTGGGCCAAGTGGCTCGAAGCTGCCGTGCTCGGAAGTTCTTGTGCCTCTCCCTAGCTACAGCCTCAGCTGCCGTCTGTGGAAGCGCTTGGAGATGCTTGGAGCACAGTACGTGATCTCCTCACTTTTCCCCACGTCATGGTCCCTTGATCTTTGATCATAGTGAATCATAGGTATATTATGATATTATATATGATATGATATATTGATATATGGTTTCTCTATGTTTCTCTTGGGTTGAAGAAAAACAACACCTCCAATTTCCAACCCGTGGAGCACAGCCATCCAGCCGTCAGCCAAGAAACTAAACGTTCTGCGCCCCGCAGCTCCACTTTGCCCTGCTCCCTCTTCATTTCCTCATGGCGTGGAACCATGCCGGGCCATGTTGTCAATCTGCATATGATATGTTTAAAAAACAATACTTCACTTCGAATGATCCCCACCATGACATTAATACATTTTCTTACTGGCAAATCTTCTGGCATTCTATCTGGCATATCTTCTGACATTTTTTCTGGCATTCTATCTGGCATATCTTCTGACATTCTATCTGACATATCTTCTGACATTCTTTCTGGCATATCTTCTGACATTCTGTCTGGCATATCTTCTGACATTCTTTCTGACATTCTTTCTGGCATTCTATCTGGCATATCTTCTGATATTCTATCTGACATCTTTTCTGACATTCTTCCAGTTGAGGTCCGGCAGTGCCCACTGCGATCTGGAAGTCGCGGTTGAGGTCCGGCAGTGCACACTGCGATCTGGAAGTCGCGGTTGAGGTCCGGCAGTGCCCACTGGGATCTGGAGCTCGCGGTTGAGGTCCGGCAGTGCCCACTGCGACCTGGAAGTCGCGGTTGAGGTCCGGCAGTGCCCACTGCGATCTGGACTGCGAGGAGGAGGCGGCGGGTGAGGAGGCGGAGGAGGCGGAGGCGGAGGAGGAGGAGGAGAACAGCTCTGATAAATTCTAACAACCCTCACCTGGCAGGTGCAGACTTTGGCAACTCTGGCATATAGTGAATAGTGATCATGATCTTAATTTCGTTGAAACATGTTGAAAACATTGGGTGTTTGGCAGCAACTCGTCGCCCCATTGCCTTAGGCCTCCCACCATCCGGGCCATGTCTAGGTCCACGTCATGGCTCTTTCGCCAAGGGTCCTTGGCTTTCCAGGCCGCCTCCACGACTTCCTTCTCCAGTTCATGACCTCTTGGAGGTGGCACCGGATGTGCTTTGGCCTTCCTCAGGATGGTGGGTGGTCCCAAGGTCAGTCCCTGGCATCACTGGAAGATGCTTCGAATCAAACATGCAGTATCACCTGTTCCTGGAAGATACCAACATCCCGGCTGCAAATCTGCTAGACTGCTAAATACTCTAGCTGGCTGGTGTGGATACTTGTTCAAAAGTGAAGCCCCATTGCAACTGCCTTTGCCAAAAACGTGGCAGCTCCAAACCCCAAGCAGTGGTCAAGCGACATCATCTTCCCACTCATAACAAGGGAAAACATGGGAAAACATGGGAAAACAACACCGGAGCCCGAACCATCCCATGCCAACGCCATGAGACGGTTCCTTTGCCAAGTCGGCTGGTTCCATGGCAGGATTGGTGCAGGCCCGTCCCCGAAGGCAGGTTTGCTGCGGTTCTTCGAGCCCAAAGCATCAGGAAATCATTGGCTGCAAGAGCTGGTAAATAGACCAGGTGTTTTCGGGGGGCTCTAGCTCCATCATGTACCCATAAAAATGGGTGAGCAAGGAAGTTGTTGTGAAGTTTCTTTTGGCCTCTCACAACTTGAAAACTTGATTTGATACAGTTCTGTGCCCGCGGGTAGTTTAACAAAACATGACTGTGGAAACTCACCATGTGTAATATATATAAATCATCTATTTTCATGGGCCATCTATGTCATAGCAAACTATGAACAAAAACGTCAAAGGCTATACTTGACAGATCCTCAAGGCCCAGTTGAGCCATTCGAAATACCCTCATCCCATCTCATGAAATACTGTATAGTTCGTTGATGGGTTTCCCTCGTATGGGTTAGTCCATAATCCCCAATAGGTAGTAACATGGTAGTAACCTAAACTTCGTACAAGGTGAGGCACCCCGGTCATAAGTTGGTTTATAAACCCATTAACTAGCTTGATATATCATGAACCATAGAACTCACCTAGTGATTTGCACCAACTTAGCTATCCTTTGGGGGGCCTCAACTTGTACAATAATCAAAGAGCCTTGGGGTAGTTTTTCATGGCCCAGTTTCCGAAAACAGCATCTCTCTGCTCGCCTTGTCTCGCAACTGCTGGATTTCCTGGCATCGAACCAGGTTTGATGATTTCCATGAATAGCAAGCCCAAAATAGATAGAACAATTGGAACTATGGAAATTCATAGGGTAACTATCATAACGCTTTTCTATCTTTTTGGAGAGTACTCTTTCTATTTTTTGGAGAGTACTATACAACATATTCAACAAATACGGTCTCGAATGGCGGAAACGTTGGCAAAAAGTACATAGCTGGAATCTCCCCTGGCACCAGGAAATCACCACCTTTGATTGGATACGGCAAGAACATCATCTACGAGGATATGTGCGGGGGATTCCTCCAACGCTTCACTGGTGATCCAACGAAGCTGTGGAATCCAGGGATTCGGAGGAATCGTCACGGAGACTCCCTAAAATCAATGTTGGTGATTCAAAGCATGACAAATCTCGCACCATGCATCTTAAGACCTATTAGGACCTATTATATATATGTGATATATATATATTATATATATTATATATATTAAATATATTATATATATATATTATATATTATATATATAATTCATAATATGTTTCTACTGACAACATGCCCGAAAGGGAGTAGTGAACAGCTTTGACCGTCTGAGAGCCAAGCTGCCGCATCAACTTCACACCAGGGGCTCTCAGTCATTTTCGGGCGCTGCTCAAAGGCTTACTGGAAAACAATGCATCTAGAAAACACACATACTTTTCCCACTTCTTTTTCTTCTCTTTCTTGGGGTATTTCAAATAAAATAAGCATATCCCAACATGACAATCAGCGTTGTGGAGTTGCATTTCGCTTGGCTACCCTACTCTTGGCACAAGCCGCAAATGCATGGAAGTGACAAGAGTCTGACCATCTCACCAACTCGTGAAAAGCAAAGCGCACATATTGCAAGAAGTTGCATATATCGACTGTGTTTAAACACATGTGTGAATATCAAGTAACCCTTGGATGCAATTCGTGGTTTCAACCCAACCCACCGATTATTCCATATTATTCCTAATTTGCTGGAAGGTAAGTCCCAGCAAGGTCGCCTCTGCAGTTCAGCGTATTTTTTCTTCGCTCAAATGTGCGAGAAGATCTCAGGTTGTGAGCAAGGCTCACCCAATCTGAATCCACAATGCCGAGCCACCGCCACTACCGGAGCTGCTGTCTTCCACTATTGATCTCGAACCACCGAACATGGAATTAGTTGTCAGGTTTCATGTGATTCCTCTGACCCAGGAGTTATGATGATTCTGACCATTCCCGTCCACCTTAACACAAACTAGTTTGACTTAACTGGCTTGGGAAAAATGAAAAAGAAGTGCCCAAGGCAGCTGAAGATATCACCACGAGGTTTCTATAGACTCAGTCACAGTGTATCTTTGTCCAGGGCTGGGGCTGGTTCTAGCTATGAGTACATACCATTCCCTGACTCTTGATTCAAATGCTGCCACTGGCCCCAACCATTTGAACTTTAAAAGGCATCTAGGCCTTTTCAAGTCCAAATTTCCTCTCATTAAAATGTAAGCCAAATCTTGTGCTATGGGGCCAGCGCCAAATGCTGAATGGGTTGCAAAACTTCTGCGCATCAGCCTCAGATTGGTTAAAATGAAAAAATCCACTGTTTTAGGTAGCATTGCTCATGCATTGCCCTTTAGATGAGCCAAACTTCTGTCATCTTCTCCGATTTGGTCGTTTCAACTCATCCAAAAAATATTAGCCCTTGTGATCATAATCCCAAGTAGTAGATTTCCAATCAGTTGTATGCCAGCTCGTCGCGTGAAAGAAAGTCTACGAGCAAGGCCGTGTAAGCAGCTCACACGGCCAGACACGGCGACAAGGACGGGAGTTCAGACATTCGGAAGATGTCGGGATTTCGTGGCCGGGCCTATGCCACTCCACCGCCAAAACAATGGCAAGTGCATGGTGCGGGGCCCCAGGGTCTGCAAGACACCCCGGAAAGCTCCGAGACAAACAGCTAAAGCTAGGTACCTTGTGCTTCAATTGGCAAGTCACTACTTCGAGGTTGGACCCTCACTCTTATATAAAGATTGAATGTCAACCATGGCTAAGAAGCTTGCCTACATCTGTGAATTGGTACATGGACGCCCCCATGCACACAAATATAATATATAATTATTGGCCACTGCCTTCAATTTGATGGGCTCAGATTGCATTGTTCTGCAGAAAGCACCAGACTTGCACCGTCACTGTTATGGCTATCGAAATGTCAAGATCTGCACATGTAAAAGGCCACTCTGCACACTGGGGCCTTTCACGATATCCTGCACATTTCGCACGTTGGACCAGGGCTATGCAGTATTGAAAGCAGCAATGAACGCAGATCATCACATCTACATCGAACGGACACGGTTCAATATTGGCTGCCCAAAACTAAGATCATGTGATGATCATGTGGGAAACTCAATACCATGACTTGCCATAAACATCATATATAATATAAACTATAAACCATTTGGGGATATTCGGGGAAGTTTAGAGCTATAAAAATGGAGACCTTGCGGATGGTTTATGGCATTGGGTTTATCACATGAAATACAACCTCCAGCCACCTCCCCGACTCGGTCACCCGGTCGCTGCAAAATCGAGGTCTGTTTATTAAACAAGCCCTGCAAACACTCAAAAAATATGGGTCATTTCAAAGGGAACCCTATAAAGTTCCATAGCTAGCTATGTTAAGTTTACTGGAGTGTCTCATGATGATACTGCTGAATGATCATGATCTGCACATCCAAGCATCCAATTGGTCCAAAGCATGGCTAGCAATGACACATCCCATACTTGGTAAATATGGAAGTGGGCAACCCTCATTGCAACAGACCACAGCTACCATGCAATGCAGGTCTCTGTGCCAAATGCAAGAACAACGTGCTATAAGAGAACCACTCTTATTGATGGCAACCCTGATTATCAACTGGTTTTTGAAAGATTTGGTTTCTCAAACATATGCACAGTTACCACTAGGGATAATTTGCTTGGCCACGTGAAATTGTGAACATTCTGCAGCACCTGTTTCCACGTCTCTTAAGCTTGGGACCCCTGGTTCGCTAGCGACCAATTGCCCCGGTCCAAACGCGTATGGACAGCTGACTTAAAAGCATTCACTTGACTTGCGACGTCTGATTGATGCCACCCAATCGGATTGATCATCTTAAAACTTCTGACTTCTGGATCTTCTGGATGAAGATTTGAAACACATTTCTATGTAGCGCAGTCATGTCCGGCGTATTATGTAGTGATTTGATATATTGCTCATGACACTGACATTGACACCCGGACGATACTGTACCTGGCTAATCATGTGAATGAGAAACTTATGTGTCAAATTCGTATGAAGTTGTGCATGTGCTGCGGGTGGAAAAATATACGTCCTCACAACACGCAATGGGTCGCGGTGCAAGCAGCTTTCAAACATTACAGCGAAGGGGATTCAAGCACGAATCGATACTGACTCTAGTTGAATCCTCCTGTTACTTCTCAGTCTCCACTTCGAAGCGTTGATCTTTGGAGATCAACGTCTTGAAATACTCCTACAAGGCCCTCAGATCTCAATTCCCCCTAGAACAGATGGATCCCTCAAGCGCTCAGTTCCTGAATATGCATGCGGAAATCTATCCCTTTGAGCTCAGTTGCCAGCATCTGTATCAGTGTATCATATCAACAGGTTGCACTCTAGACTCAAATGGTCATCCATATGACATCATACCAGGTCATACCAGTTGCCGGTCAGCTCGATGAAATCTGCGCTGTGGAACAGCCATGTTTTTGTTCCTCAGATCCCCATGATTGTTTGGGAGGTTACCCTCTGGTAAGCTAACATAGCTATGGAAAATCACAACGTTTCATAGCTAAATCATGGTAAATCAACTGCAACCATGGGCCATGTGTCAATAGCAAACTGTGAAATTACTAGATGGATCTAGATGGTCACATTACATTATCATTACATCCCCGCAACAGTTCCATCAAATCACTGTTCAATGACAGGTTAGATCCTGTTCATGATCAGATCAGCTCACACCGAGGACCCGAAAGGACTCTCCTCACTCAGGCGTCGGGTCACCATCAGGGGGGGGATGTTGTCAGGGCCCATGATCACCTTGATCGCAGGGGCCTTGGATGCCGGCAACGGATCTATTTCTAAGGCAGTTTATTAAGGTGAACAACCTGCAGGAAACAGTGTTTTTTTTTAAGGGATAAATATGCTATAGGTGAAAACCACCATGATTATATACTATTATAGTATAATTATAATGTATTACAATTCAAACCTATAATTATCACGTATTCTCTCGTGCAATTGATCCTATAACCAGCATTTTTGGGTGATTTACTGTAGCAAGTCATGCTGATCTTACCCACCTTATGTTGAATAGATCAATGAAACCATCCATCCAATGCACCACCAAAATCCACCAACCAAAATGCATGTTAGTTAAAATCACCGATCAATAGTTCATTTTAATTCATTTTAGCCATTGAAATAAATCTGTTAGCCTATAAAGAACCACCATCACGTGACACCAAAAGGCACGATGGACATCATCTCCAGGACGAGCAGCGAAAATGGCTGCCATGGTGGATGTAGGGGATAAAACCACAGAATCGAGAAATCAAGGTGGTGGAACTAATGGGAAGAGGGGATATGATCAAAAATCACATGAAATCTCATTTTTTTTCTCCCATTTAAATCCCATTAAACCACCATTTCTGATGGTTAAAAACCAGGGATACTCAATGACATATTCCCAGGGATATTCCCATTCAACCACCATTTCTCACGTTGAAGACCTAGGAGTTCCACCATGGCGCTGGACATGACATGCTCTTGGTCTCTACTTGGATCAAGGCAGCCGGATGCCCGTCCACGGTGACCAGATCTCCTGGAGTTCACTCATGGGGAGATGGCCTCAAGTCCTAGACTTGGATGAAAGGGAGAAAGTGCAGGAAACACACACACATGCATATATATATATATGATATGATATGTGTGTTGTATGTAGATCATGTAATGTACAAACATATATATATATACACATGATCATATGTGTGAAACACTCGTAAGAGCATGCACTTTCAAAACAACAACAACAACAACAACAACAACAACAACAACAGGATGTGCCGCCCGTGTCCTGGTAGAAGCTCCTTGGCTTTCTTTGTCCCGGCGCCGGCGCCCAGCGCGATGCAATGATCTGGCACCACCCGAAGGATCCTGAGAGGTGACCATTGGGACGTTGGTATCAGACAGTGATAAACTTTCTCCATTAGTATGATGGTTACTGTCAAGGAGGAAACATGATTAACCATCAGCATTAATACTAAAGTATTAACTTTAAGGATGATTAACCATCAGTATTAACCATTAGTATGATTAACTTTCCCAATGATTAATACTGATGGTTAATCATCCCTAAAGTTAATATGATGAACTTATGATCGTATACTCTGCAAGCCAGATTGTAAACCTGTATCATTAACTAACGGTTATTAACCATCATTGACCAGAATCATGATATTCATTGTATTCATAGATGGTCATCCATTATATCCCCATAGTATCCAAATTATACCAGCATATCGGTTGGTTCAGTCACCAATGTTTGATGTGTACTGTAAATTATATGTTCATTCATTCTTCAAAAATCGTCTACAATGTTTACAAATAGATAGATACGTCTATCTATTTGCACATGGTTGCTCAAATACTCTCTTTTATCTATGAAATTATGCGATTACTAAGATATAACCCAGATATACCCAGATTGCCTATGCTATTTTAACATTATATATATATAACAATGTACTAATCTGAAATAAAGCCATATTTAAATAGCTATCCTAGTAACATCTAGTAACCATCATTCCAGTAAGGTCGCAGTGAGGTCGTCGATTCTCATCCATCATGCCCCCACTATACCACCATTGTTGTTGCTTGAGTCAATATTCTTGATGGTTGATAATCATGTTGAGTCCCCATTATATTCCCACGATATTCCCATTAAGTCCCATTAAACCACCATGTCGAATGCTTTAAGTTGGTTAAATCCCATTGAATCCCATGAAATCACCATTTTTAGTTGCTTAAATCCCATTAATATCACCACTTTTAGTTGGTGAAATCTCATTTAGTTGGTGAAATCCCATTACTGTAAATCACAACTTTTAGTTGGTGAAATCCCATTAAATCACCACTTTTAGTTGGTCAATTCCCATTGAATCACCAGTTTTACTTGGTATTACTTGGTTAAATCACCATGAAAGCTGTTTATATCTTCGGTCTACCAAGGCACACGTCGCCAGCCCAAAGCTCCAGCACTTCGTTCACCAAGACCTCCTGCGGATGATCCAAGACCTGGCGGCGGTGGGAATCTGACGATGGGAGAAGAAAATGGTTTGTATCAAGAGTGAAAATCATGCAACAATCATGGGAAAATCAAGGGAAAATGGTTGATGGATGTTGATTTTTCAATGGTAAAAGGTGGGTTGGTTGATGCGGAGCCGGTGGCCGTCATGGGGTGGTGTGCCGCTGTTCAACCGCGTCATGGAGGGCAAACACGCTGCTGATTCATGCTGGGGTTTAATGGAGTTTAATGGGGTTTCATGGAATTTAAACAACATGAACAGGGATGTTACCCTATGGTTATTTAAGATTGCTATGGAAAATATGGGAAAATCACCAGAAAAATAATAGGTAAATATGTATGAGTAAATAATCCATAAATGGACAGCGGACATGCGGATCTGAAGCATCC